CTGATTCTTCTCATTTAAAAGACGACTCCTACACAGTGGAAAACGGTGTGTGCTGCACAGAAAAGACACCCCAGGAAACTACGGTAAATAAGCATCAGTGTCTTAGGAATGACACCTGAGCCAATACACAATAACAGCTCTTCACTTCAAAACTCGGTGGTTAGACATAAAATATACACTAATAAAATCACTGTTCTTACTGAAAACCACTTACTCTGGAATTACAACCCAATAAATGTATTAAGGTGTTAATACATGTTTATAGCGAAGTATTTTATAATCAACTCTTTGAACTGGCTTCTAAATGGTGCTGGCATCCTCAGTGGAGGGAAGGGACACTTAGCACAGGAAGACACCAGCAAGCAGGGAAGCCGGTTGGTGGGTGGGTGGATGGGTGGGTGGGTCTCCCTTCTTTTTCAAGTGAACGCTGAAGAGTTCACCTCCTCAGTCAAGAGCACCTTCGAGCACATCTGGGAGACAGACAGTCAGTTAAACAGATTAATGGAGAGGAGTGGAGGAGGGTAGAGCCTTCACTCTATTAATCTACAGCCTAAGAAACGGCCCATTGCTAACGTCCAAGCTACAAAAGAACCGCCACCAAAAGCTCTGCTATAAAGAACCTTTGAGTGGAATCAAGCTTAAGGAAGAATGACAGCGATTGTACAACATCACTGACCCCACCTAAGAAATGGCCAAATGCTTTCTGTTTTCTTTACGTAAAATAGCTTTATCAGATAGTTTGGTGGTTTGAATAAGAATTGCCCCCATAGGCTCACAAGTTTGAAGGCTTGGCCATTAGGGAGTGGTACTACTTTCGAGGTATTAGGAGGTGTGGTCTTGTTGGAGGAGGTATGTCACTAGTGGTGGGCTTTGGGGTTTCAAAAGCCCAAGCCAGTCCCGGGCTGCTCTCTACCTGTGCCTGTGAATTCAGGTGTAGAACTCTCAACTACTTCTCCAGCACCAAGTCTGTGTATGTTCCGCCATGCTCTCTGCCTTGGTGAAAATGGACCAAACCTCTGAAACTGTAAGCCAGCCCCAATTAAACGCTTTCTTTTATAAGAGTTGATGTGGTCATGGTGTCTATTCACTGACTAAGACAGTTAGAAACCAGGAATAATTATTATGCATATATTCTTTTGAACAAAGAATACTCTAGAGCTTTTAAGAAAATGCATTTTAACTGAATATAATTTGCACACAACTTGAGTGCATTATAAACATTCCCAAGCTGTCCCAATGCTGAGAAGGGAGACCACAGCTGGCCAGCTTCAGGGCAGTCTACCATACCTTAACAGCAGTTGGTTACTGGGCAGACCTTGCTTCCTTGTTCCCAGGTTTGCCATGGGGCAGCTTTTAATACCCTACAAATACAAACACATTCTAAACCCTGAGGTTCTGGGTAGAACTAAGAAGGGCTGTTCTGAGGAGTGACATCTGAAAGGAGGTGTTAGGTATACAAGACGGGTAAGATCTCCACAATTCAAATTATATTTGCTCACTCTAAGTCAATTACAGGTAAAATAAATAAATAAATCACAAGATCAGTTTCCTTTGTATCTCAAGAGGCAAATTAGAACAGTGACAATTCCAGTCACTCTGTTGGTAATCACAACGCATGAAAGCAGAAACTCAAAATCTAAGTGTTTCAACGTAATATACAATCAACAAGGACACACAGTAACCTCTCCTCCAAGCTGCTAAAAACTGCCAAGTTTCAAAGCCCACAGAACCAGAACTAGCCCATACCGGATCACTCTGCAGCCGTCGGTGGACAGCAAACACAGCTAAGGCACACTGAGAGACAGCTGTTCACCAGCAGGAGATTCACACGGTGTTGAGAAGAAAATCCTTTCTGAACGAGCGATCACAGGTACAAGTACTGCTAAAACCACACCCACTGTCTTTGGGTCTCTATTATGGCTAACTTCTCTACAGGCTTACTCTTCTAAAGAAAACACGGGGCTTGCAAGCTGCGACTGGAGGGTAAGTGTCTATTACACGTGCCCCCCCCAATGTCCAGGAAGTAGAGCTGAGAGGCCATTTCCATCCCAGCACTAATAAGCAGAGAGAAAGTGGCCAGGGTGCTAAATCTGATGGGTCAGGGCATCCTCAGCTAGGATGTAGAGGAGGAGTCAGACAGAAAACTCGAAGCACTTTTGATGGCTTCAAAAACCAGCTAACCGGCATGACAGCATGGAGTGTCCCAGAGCTCCACCAAGGCCGAGAGCCCACAAGCACCAACCTGAAACCCTGCTACCAACTTTCCATTAGTGCCCACGTGAGCTGTATTTCTAGTAACGATCCCTGCCCACCACCAGCTGGCACACCACCAGCTCACCTGTGGCAGCGGCTGCTGGCTGGGCTCCCCGAAGCTACCTAACTAAGGAGGTCACGTACAGCAAGAACACGACCCATCTCATTCCAGACACCAGAGAACAGGACCTAACAATTTATGTCCTGACCCTTTGGCTCATAGAAACACACTGGATTCCTCACAGCAATCTATGATGCAGACCACCGCCACCACCATCGTCATCACCACCATCACCATTTTTCAGAAAGACAGGTAAGTTAAAAGCTAGCCCAAGTCCTAGAAGATGATGAGTTAGCCAGAACCTGGTTTTTAGTGGTACAGTTCTACATCTCCCACCCATAGTTTACAGTTTCTCTGTCACCGTACAGGGATCCCCACATTCAGATCTGTTCATGCTGTGCACTACTAAGCCAGTAACTGGGGGTCCAGGGTGATGAGAATAGTCATTTATCTGAAATGTTTACTCTCTGCAAAGGGTCTGAGGTTAGCAGACAACCCTTGAATTAGCCACCCTCTGGACATCAGTTGAGTCTCTCACTTGGCATTATTTTTCTAAAATCAAAAGAATCTCTTAAATCATCAGTCCCACCACCTACAACAATCCCTTCCTTCTTTTGCTGGACCTGGGGCTCAGGGTTCAAACAAGTGTCCCACTAACAGAAAGTTACAAAACTAAATCGGGGAGTGACTTTAAAACTTCAGCTGTGGACAGAGCAGGCCTCGCAGTGAAGAGTCCATGGACATCTGGTCATTGCAACAGGTTTTGTAACCGTTATTGTGAGAGTAGAGTTACCTCTACGGTACAGAGGTACAAACACACAGGCCTTGAGCTGCAACTGAATGGTAAACAATAGTCATGCCTCCTAGGCCAGGGAGGTGATTCAGTGGGTTAAGGGCACCCACTGCCAAGCCTAAGGGCTAGGGTTTGATGCCCCCACTCACACAGTGGAGGGAGAACCTATCTAATCCCACAGGTTGTCCTCAGACACACACGTGTGTGCACGCGCACGCGTACACACACAGACACACACACTCACACAGACACACTCACACACAGACACACACACAGACACACACACACTCACACAGACACACACACTCACACAGACACACTCACACACAGACACACACACACACTCACACAGACACACACTCACACAGACACACACACTCACACAGACACACACAGACACATACACACTCACACAGACACACACACTCACACAGACACACACACTCACACAGACACACTCACACACAGACACACACACACTCACACAGACACACACACTCACACAGACACACTCACACACAGACACACACACACACTCACACAGACACACACAGACACATACACACTCACACAGACACACACACTCACACAGACACACACACTCACACAGACACACTCACACACAGACACACACACACTCACACAGACACACACACACTCACACAGACACACACACACTCACACAGACACTCACACACTCACACAGACACTCACACACAGACACACACACACTCACAGACACACACACTCACACAGACACACACACTCACACAGACACACACAGACACATACACACTCACACAGACACACACTCACACAGACACACACACTCACACAGACACACACACTCACACAGACACACACACACTCACACAGACACACACACTCACAGACACACACAGACACACACACTCACACAGACATACACACTCACACACAGACACATACACACTCACACAGACACACACACTCACACAGACACACACACTCACACAGACACACACACTCACACAGACACACACACACTCACACAGACACACACAGACACATACACACTCACACAGACACACACACTCACACAGACACACACAGACACTCACACAGACACACACACACAGACACACACACACACACCATGTGTGCACCCACACATAAACAGAGAAAAGAATAAATGAAAACAAAATATGTAAAAATAAAATTAGTAATCGCTCTTAAGAGGTTCTCAAGGGATTATCTAAATGCACAAGAATATAAAAATGGAGGAAACCCATAGGCTCTCAAAGGGTAAGAGAACATTGTCATTTTTAAAAGACGTTGTTATAAATATTACAAGTATCCCTACTGTGTGGTTTACTGCTCTACAGTTCACAAGCATCCAACCATCCACCAAGTAGTCTTACCTCCAAATTCAATAAAAATGTTATTATATCTAGTTTCTTACTTTTATCACTAACTTCAACAACGTAGCAAGAAATTACCATCTTCTATTCTTGACAACATAAAAACTACATATGAAGTGAAAATTAAGTACTAAGAATATTTTGAAATAATTACAGCTCTCCAGCAGAGATTGGAAATTAAAAACAAACAAAAGGACCTGTTGCAGAGTAATGGTATTGACAGAGGTAAATGAATTTTGTATTCCTCAAAAGAAAACAGGACAAAGTGCATACATTACTTAATACAAAAGTAGTAATGTCACTCTGTTTCTTTAACGTTTGTCATTTACTTTTAAGTTATTTTTAAAAGCAAAGTGTGAGTATTTTCATCTCAGATAAATCATCTTGCACACCACCTGAAAGCTCCTAATATCCGAGAGATAAATGACTGATAGACAATCCCTAAATCTAAAGCAGCAAAGTAACCGTTTTCCTACTACTTAGAGGAACTGACCGTCAATAATAAAGAATTCATCCTCATTCTTGGGGTCCACACAATGGTTGAGCGGGTACAGGCTAAATGACCTGAGTAGGAGCCCCAGAACCCGTAGGATGGAAGGGGACAAGCACAACTGCAAACGGCTCTCCGAGCTCTGCAAACAGATGCAGAAAACAAAAATAAATGCATGAATAAATAGATAGATGTAAATAAATAAATAGATGTAAACAACATTTACAGGAAAAAAAAAACCTCCATTCTTTTGGTCAAAGGGAAGAAGCCAGCTCTCTCCCCCTTCACACACGTTTCCAGTTCGAAACTTGGCACTGAGGGAGTGACTGATATGTGTATGTGCTCATTATTTCAAGCAAAAAGCAACCACACAAGATCCATAAAATCAAGAGAGTGAGACAGCCGCACACTGTCTTCCCACAGAGCCCTCGCTCTAGGCTTGACCCAGGAAAACCTGCCCTCTTCCACCTCTCTGACCCCAGCAACTAGCTATGCAGGAAAACCTAAAAGCCCTGAAAGGAAATCCCCTTTGTGGCCTCGTCAAAAAAACAAACCTTCGTAAAGAATGACTGAAGCGTGTATTCCCCGCTCAGCATCAACACTAAAAGCGAAACAATTCATTAAAGAGAAGGAAATGTTTCCCTCCCGTACTGCTGAGTGCCTTCCTTCTGTCTGAAATTGCTCCAGCACAAATTGGTTCTCCCGCAGCAGGCCACCAGGCTGCTGTATGCTCGGCCACGTCCTAAGCGTGATCTCCCACGTCACCCACTGATTACCTGTATCAAAACACACGGCCCGCAGCTGGGCCCGCCTCCTGGAGCAAGCCCTGGTGAGTGCCGCTCTCAACCTTTTATAGTGGAGGCATGTGATGCGCGTATCTGCACCAGCTGTTCCTAATTACCCCTCAGACTGGGGTGAATGACTCAGCAACACAAACTCTTTTTTTAAAGAGTCACCCTACCTTGTTAACCAACCAACGTAGCGAACAAAGGGAAGCCACTTGACAGATCCGCCGGTTAAGCAACAATACAAGGGGCGATCACTCCTCCAAAGCCACCCAACTCCAAGATGAATCACCAGGAGCCTTTTCCACCACCACCAACCCCCCTACACTACCTTACGATGTCCAAAGCCAGAAGTGGCAAGCGCCTTCAAGCCCAGCCCCGAGCTTGCACCACCGCCGCAGGAGCAGGAAGAATAGGCCAACCCATAGCTCTTCCCATTTCTCCGAACGTGCGGAGGAGCGCTCCAAAGCTCGGCCACTAACAGAGCTCGGCTGTCCATCCTTTCCGTCTGTCTGAACTGCCTGCCTTCCAAAGGAGGGCTCAAATACCTAAACAAAGACCAGCAGGGGCATCCTCCACAGCGAGCGGCCAACAACTCCAGACAGTCCTCCAAACGGGAGCAGCATCCTGCTAACACGGCCTTTGTTCTTCCAAGCCTGTCCCTTGGAGCTGGCTTTCCCCACGCACGTTCTTTCAGAATTACTACTACAACGTCTGCCTTGACTCAGCCCAGGCTGAACGCGGGGAGCTCGCTCCACGAAAGCCATCGACGCAATCCCCACTGCGTGACACCAAAGTGCCGGGGGGAGCAGCGAGAGCGCGCCGGCCCTGGCGCGAACCCACCGAGCCGGCGTCGTTGTCACCGAGACCCACTCTGCCCACGCAGTGCGGGCTCTCAATTACAAACGTGCGCGAAGCAGCAACAAAGGGGAGCCCGGCCCCGCGGGCCGGGTCCTGGCGTCCGGGCTGGCTCGGCCTTGCCCCCCGCACGCAGGCAGAGCGGGACGCGGCCCGCGGAGCTCGGTGCAGGGCGGCGCCGGCCCGGCCGAGCCGGAGAGTCCGCGCCGCGCGTAAACAGCGCGCAGCCCGCCGCCCCCTCCAGGCCCGCGCGGGTGGCCGCCCGCCCGCCCGTTCGCCCGGCCGCCCCGAGCCTGGCTGACCCCCGGGAAGGACGGGAGGACGACAGCCCCCGCCGCCCGAGCCACTCACCGGAGCCGAGGCGCGGCGCGGCCCGACTGCAGGCGGCAAGCGGCGGTCAGGTGACTCACTCCCTCCGCGCGGCCGGCCGCCCGCCCGTCCCCTCCCCTGCGCTCCGCTCTAGTCCGCCGCCGCCACCAGCGCCTCCCGGCGCTAAAGCCCCGCCCCGCCCCAGGCTCCGCCCCGCCCCAGACCCCGCCCCGCGGCCGGAGCCCGGCCAAGCTCGGGGCCACGCCCCCCGCTGGTGAGCTCCTCCCCGTGTCGCCTGGGGCGGGGGCCGGGCTGCGTTCTGGAGCTTGAAGCCCACGGCCTGGGCCTCCAACCGGGTCTTCCTACCGCTGCCTTAGGTGACACTGCCATAAGCCGCCGGGGACCCCACCGACTGAGGGAAGAAAAGAAAGGCTGACGCCTCCACACCCCCAAGGGTGTTGCCTTGTTCAGGGTGACCCCCCCATCAAACAGGTCAGATAAGGATCTTGAACCCCACGCCCCCCAGAAACCTTAGAGGCTCCCTTGCAGCCAAGCTCCTGAGCTGCTTTCCAGTGGGGGCGCGAGAGCCTGGTGTTTGAACTTGCCGAAAGGGGTGTGTCAAGAACGTCTGCCTGGAGCTGGGCAGGGCTTTTCGGAGCAGGTTTGAGAGGAGGAGGAGGAAGCTGCTGCCCCTCTCAGTGATTGCTAATATCCCTCCAAGTTGTTGGTGTCAGACGAGGCCCTTCCCTGAAAACCACAAGGCATGTGACCTGGAGTGCAGTTTGCTCACTTATAACCCGCTAATATGCATGATTCCCCCCATCAAATCCCTTTGCTGCTTGCACTCGGAGTGCTCTCTCTCTCTCTCTCTCTCTCTCTCTCTCTCTCTCTCTCTCTCTCTCTCTCTCTCTCTCTCTCTCACACACACACACACACACACACACACACACACTGCTTTGAGTTATCCCTGTGCCCTTCATACTTGCCTCAGTAATCTGCACTCTTGTTTTGTTTTCGTTTTTCAAGACAGTTTCTCTGTGTAGCCCTGGCTGTCTTGGAACTCACTCTGTAGACCAGGCTGGCCTGGAACTGGGGTATCCACCTGCCTCTGCCTCCCACATGCTAGGATTAAAGACCTGCGCTTCTTGTCTGCTAGCTGTGATCGGCTGCATGCACCAAGGAGCAAATTGTGCTGGCCTTCACATCCCGATATTGTACAAAGTGTCTGTCCATCTCCATGCTGTAGCTTCCCCGGGAAACATGGACCCAGTTTCAAAGGCTGGTGGTGCCAGCCACGCCCCTCGATCCCTGGCCTTGCTCTCATCCTCCGCTGCTTATTCAGGTACTTATCCAATTGTTCACTTTTATTTTTTATTGCACTCACTGTTGTTCAAAGCAGCGTCTTTCTGCACGGCTGCGTGCACACGTGGCGAAACTTATCAGTCTGTAGAAAGAGCCGGCTGCCCTGGCCAACCTGATCAGAAGAAATTGCCACCCCTAAGGCCCCTGAGCCCTGTAGCTCTGGATTTTTGGGAAGGGAGTAATATTGCTGGAGAAAAATGGGTGGCTAAACACCAGAAACCCCAAAACGTATGTACTCCTTAAACAGAAGCAAGGCAGCCCAGGGGCTCCGAGAGAGGGGTGGCTACCAAATAGTAGTGTCATTTTCATGATTGCGTCTGTCCATTGCATAAGTGCTTGTGAGTTGAGGACATTCAGTGACCTCCAAAATATGTGAGAAGACAGCCTAAGTGAGCTGAGATGACACTGTAAGTGTTGAAGTGATGGCTTCCTGAGGAAGGGACGGCTCAGTTGAGGTGAATGTGGTCCAGCGGGCTATGGGGGCAATCAAGAGGTGGATGTTGGTGGCATTTTCAGATGCCTGAGTTCATGGTGCAGGCATTGAGGGTGCAGAGAAATGAGGGAAGACACTGAGGGAGAGATGAGAGACGCCCATGAGTTCTGAAGTTCCTACCTCTCTCCTTCCACTCTGAGCCAAGGGAGCTATAGTCTGCCTTCTTTTCCGCCTCTAATATGCATTGATTTGATAAACTGCCTTGTGCTGAATGGTATTAGCTTACCCAGAAGCTCCCTCCAAACATGCTTCCCCTGACTTGTTCTCCAAAAGCATCACTCTTAGCATGGGCTGCCCCGCCCCCCAACTCTGTGACAAGGAGGAGAGACACAAAGCCTTGTGCCTTGCCATGAGAAAAGCTGGAAGGTGAGCCACTTCCAACCGGAGGTTACTATTGCTTTTCCCGTGTTATTAAAAGGTCTACTGCTGTGAAATAATCCTTCTGTACACTACGAATATGTGTTGCTCTCGCTGGTTGGCTAGGCGGGATTTTCGAGGCAGAGAGACAGAAGGGTGAGGCATCACGAGATGCAGAGAGAGCAGGGTGGGAAGTATGTACATGAGGTAAATGAGACTCGGAGCAGCACATAGATCCATAGAAGTGGCTTAATTTAAGTTACAAGACTTAGCTAAAAGCAAGCCCAAGTTATCGGCCGAGCATTTGTAACTAATAATGAGTTTCTGTGTGGTTATTTGGGGAGTGACTGACGGGACAGAGGTGATTGGCGGTCTGGACAGAAAACTCCAAGTCCAGTGTACAATGGGAAAAAGAAATCAGAAGTTCAACCACGGAGTCTCAATCATGGGGAGAAGGCTCAACTGGGAACTCCAGCTGTCTGCTTCCAACTCCAGTCAGGTGCTGCTTGATGTTGCAGGAGCTTTATTTGATGGTGTCCTCTCCAAATGCTGTTGTTTTCTTTAGAAGCCTCGCTTGAAGGGACAGACACTCTGCCTGCCCCTCTTGATCGGGAACTGCAGACATCCACCGTACAGGTACTTCCCCATCTATTTCTGCTGGATGTTTTGAGTACCCAATTTTGTGATCTATTAATCTGTCCATCTACCCCTTTTCATTCATTCTTTAACTTTGGCTTCTGTATACTGAATAAATCAACTCACTCAAAACTAAAAAAAAATATGACTATTGTAGATAATTCTCAGAATGACACCTATGAAGTCTTTCTCTTGTGGGTATGAACATTCTTCTCTCATCTAGACCATGATGTTGGCAGTTTTTCTCACTGGATCATGACGGCCTGTATTCTGATCAATCATATTGAACTTCTCTACAAAGGCATGCCAAGATGTTGAGGCTGTCGAGACATTAAAATGCAGGCTTCTGGTCCTGTGTCCCTGACATCCTAATTCCGTAGGTCACAGTGAGACTCAGGGATCAGTATTGTTAGTATTGATGCAGGTGGGCTTCTGGCCACTTTTGAGAATCCCTAACAGAGGATGAAAGATGCTCAAAAACAAAAACCACACCAACTCGAAGAACCATGCACTGTGCCAGAACTGAAGCCTGGACTTCGTCTTATGCTGACAAGGAATCTTTAAGTCGTGTACTACTTGAATTAATTCTAAAGCCGAGAGGAATAGCAACAGGATGAGTGTTGGTTAGATGGAGAAAAGGATGATAACTTTCAGTATCCTTTGCTTTGAGCCAAAACGGCGTTTTAAAAAAGAAGAGCGAATTTTTCTCTTAAAACCTGGCTCTCAGTACAGATATTCACAGACAGCCCTGTGGTCTGAATCAGCCTTCTGGACTTCCTGAATCAGCACAGCCCATTAACTGCTAAGCCAACGAAACTTGGGCATTTTCCTCCGTTGCAGATTCACAGTGCTTCAGCCCTCCTCTCACCCTGCTGATCGTGTTGACAAACTGAAGTACACAATTTTCTATGCCCTTACAAGAGTCTTCTTCATCATTTTTGGTCAACTTTTAAAGATAGACGTTTGGGGATCTTTTGCATTATGCATTCATTGGAATATTAATTTAAACATTGCTCAAAATTACCTTTGACTCTAATGAGATTTGGTGCTTCTTTCCCATTTCTAGGGGGAAAAATCTTTAAGATTATGGGGAAGAAGCTGGGAGATGACTCAGTCATTAACGTGTTTACCTTGCAAGTGCAAAGACTTGAGTTCAAATCCAGTACATACCAATAATCCTAACACTAGTAAGACACAGATGGAATCCCTGGAGCTCTATAGCCAGTCACCCTAGCTAATAATCTTCAGGTTCAGTGAGAGATCCTGTCTCAAGAACAAAATAAGGTAAAGAATTATTACAGAAGAAGACACCAGGGGTGACCACTGTCCTCCATCTGCATCTGCACACGTGCATATGTGCGTAGATACATGAACACATTTTCACACATGTCCCCTACACACACACACACACACAGAGAGAGAGAGAGAGAGAGAGAGAGAGAGAGAGAGAGAGAGAGAGAGAGAGATTGTAGGAAGAAAATTTGATTGTTTTCAACTGATGTTGCCCATCAATTGAGAGAATCTCCCAGCATACAACAAAAAAATGTTTATAGCCTCACGGTGACTTACAATTGGTACTTCTTCATCCCATAGTTATGGCTTCCTAGTCCCTAGGAAGTCCTACCTCTGAAGCAGAGACACCCTAGTCTGTTGATCACTTATGCTCCTTGACCAGCAGTGATGGCAAAATTTTCTGTGTGAGCAACTTTTGTCAATACACTATCCTTCTCACACAGCATTACACATATGTATTACCACGTTTATTCCAAAAATCATACTCTCTTTTCTCATCTCTATTCTCTTTTGAGACATAATACAGGCTTTGTCATGAAAGTAAAATTGTGTCATTAACACTGAGAAGCATGTAAATAGCTCCAAGGCACAAGCCAAGAAGAGATTTTTCAAAGAAACCTAAACATATCCACCACCATTTTCTGTTCCAGGGACAGAATGCCTTGCATGCATGGCTCTCAAAAATGAAAACTCGAAATCCTACCATCAGGGAAAATATGGCACAATACTTGGACAAGACACGTAACATATATCCCATATCAAATGACAATTGGGCTCTGTCTTTTCCCCTTCCTAACATCAGGGACGATCTGCACATTCACTATACTACTCAGTCACACTCAACCGTGTGTCTAATAGCCCAGGTCACCCCTACACATCTTCTAACCCTGGCCCAGGGCATCCTTCATCGTGCTTCCACTCTCTTGACTTTCTGAAAGTAACCATTCACTAATTCCATCAGCAAAAACTCTGGATGGGGGCAAAACCTGGGCTTTAGACTGGGAGTAGGGGATGCTGAGATAAAGCAGACTAAGTCTATCTGCAGAGGCCCTGCTATCTAACTCCTCCCTCAGAAGTGATGAAGAAACTGAAATCTGGCCCCTTCATCTGAAACTTCGAGTGTGTGTGAGGGTGAGGGTGTGTGTGCCTGTGTTTCTGTGTGTGGGGTATGTGTGTGCCTGTGTGTGTGCCTGTGTGTGTGTGTGCCTGTGTGTGTGTGTGTGCCTGTGGTGTGTGTGTGCCTGTATGTGTGTGCCTGTATGTGTGTGCCTGTGTGTGTGCTGTGGTGTGTGTGTGCCTGTATGTGTGTGTGTGTGTGTGTAAAGCACACTTTATTTGAAGGTAATGAAACCTGGCAACTGAAATGAGAAGGAGGTGAAGAGAAGGTCACCTCTGATTTGTGACGCCCACAAAGTCTATAGAGCGGATAGTAGGCAGACACCAGGCAGTGGTGCCACAAGCCTGCGCCACATGACTTTGAATTCAGTCTGGCCTGCATAGTAATGCCCTTTCTCAAAGTAAGTTTTCAGAACACCTGGGTAGCAGACAAAGGGGAAAGGGAGAACTGGAGCAGAAAACCTCCACGTGACAAGGACAAAAATCCATCAACAAGGCGATACAGAGAGAGCAGATGTATTGATCGCCAAAGTGGATCATACACAGCAAACATCTGCACTTCTAAAACCTAGTAGAAGGCTGTCATGGGCTAAAGATGGACACAGAGTTTGTCATCCTCCCTGTCATCTCAAATTTGGTCCTGTCCTGAGGAAAACATCCAATCTTTCAAAGGCGTGGCAGCTATTTTTTCTTCTGAAATGACCTCCCTTAGAATGTCACACTAAGCCACTTTGCTGTCAGAAGGTCAGTGTGGGACACATACCGCCTCTCCCTTCTGGCCCCAGCAGTCACCAGCATCAACTGTAGTCATGAGGTAAGCTTCTGCTATGGAGTGCTCTCCTCTGGGCGTAACAAACCATCACCACCTTCATCAGAGCAGCTAAGATTACCCCCCAAGAGACCCCCGAGATGGGGCCTACTGATATTCCCTCACAGAAGAAGGGGAAGGGGTCCGTTAGTCCCGCCTCTGAGACGTCAAGGGCTCCCTCATGCAATTCTCTGCCAGCTGTTTGTGATGCCACCCTAGTTGCACGTCGTCTTGGGAGACGCTAACGTAAGGCATAGAAAATTCACTGAAGGCTAGGATTCCATCTGGGTCGCTATGGAGAGGTAGCCATGCATGCCAGGTTGATATCTGTCGGTTGTACAGCTCTTATGGGGTTCCCACCCTCTAGTAAGTAACTCCTCACTCATGATCCTATAAGAAATCCCCAAACTTGATTCACCAAGACAGGTAGATAGAATTATTCCTCTGACCTGTCATTTGTACCCTATCTGGAATGAAACTGAAAAGTATATATATCCTTGACAAACTGGGGTTCAGGCAAAACAGTACCTGAGTTTTGGAATGGGATGGCCCCAAGGAGACTGCGAAGTACTGAAATTCTAGAGAAAGAAAGAGACGTAATCATACAGTTCTGTCACAACAGCCTGTTTCCTGGACGGGGATGCCATGGGTAAGAAACATTTTGAGTAAAGCAAAGACCACCCTCTGAGATTGAAAATCTGTAAAAAAGGTGTGCCATGGAGGATGAGAGGTGTCTATACTGCTGGGGCACAGAGCATTTAATTAATGGGAAGTAGCTAGTTCACACCACCAGCTACTCCAGATTGTTCCTTCGGCTTCTCTACCCTGCACTGTGTTCTCAGAGCCGGCCCCTGAGGACACAGGGTTTCCCTGGCCAGTTGTCTGTGTGTAACAGCAGGTGACAGTAACAGCTTAATTGCCCCCCCCCACTACTCCATGGGTTGGCTGTGTCAGTTTTCATGTCCTTTTTTTCTCAATATATGTTTTTATTTAAATTGGAACCATAAATGCTTCACATGTCAGTCCCAGCTCCCTCTCCCACCCCTCCTCCCTTGTCCCTCCACAAGCCCCCTGCCAGCCCCCCACCCAATCCCCACATCATCCCCCAGGGAGGGTGAGGCCCTCCTTGATGGGATCTCCAAAGTCTGTCACTTCATCCAGGGAAGGACCTAGGCCCTTCCCCATGTGTCCAGGCTGAGAGAGCATCCCTCTATGTGGAATGGGCTCCCAAAGATCATTCACACACCATTGTGGACACTGATCTACTACCCAAGGCCCCAGTGATTTCTGTGGCCTCGAGACTACATTCATGGAGTCTGAATCAGTCCCCTGTTGGCCTCTCAGGCATCAGTCTGGGATTCAAGAGCTCCCCCCTTGTCAGGTCAGCTGTCTTTGTGGGTTTCACCATCATGGTCTTGACCCCTTTGCTCATCACTCCTCCATCTCTGTCACTAGGTTCCAGGAGTTCAGTTCAGTGGTTAGCTGTGGGTATCTGCCTCTGCTCCCATCAGTCCCTGGATGAAGGTTCTAGGATGGCATATAGGGTAGTCATCAACCCTATCACCAAGGAGGGGCTGTTAGTGTAGTCTCTCCACTACTGCTTAGTTTGCCAGTTGGTGTTCATGTCTTAAAAGCCCCGATTCCTTCCAGGTCACCCTCACCTATAGCTACAGCCAAAAGCAACATCACTTTAGGGATGGTGACACCACTGTCCCATTCTGCGTCATCTCCTCCACAGGCCGCTCCAGCCCTCCTCGGTGTGTTCTGCCCTCATCACTGGAAGTGGTCCCATCTAGTTCCTGCCAGTTTCCTCACTGGTCGTCAGGTCAGAAGTTGGATGAAAGTGCAGTGAATATATTAACCCATCTAAACTAGAAACAAAGCTGTGGGGGAAGGAGGTTAACCCCTGAAGCCAAGAAAATAGAGTCTAAGGTACAGCAGCAATCCTGTGGGATGCCTAGGGGTGAAGATGCAGGGCCATAGACATAGCATTTGATCCCAGGCTCTCCTACCTGGGATGGCAGGTATGCAGACTGGCATGGTTTGCGACGTAACATCTAGATCCTAGCCGTCAAAACCACCCCAAACCTGTTTGTTCCTCTTTGATTCTTTCTAACGACGCCTGGCTTTGCATGTAACTTGCATTCACCTACAGAAAGAGAATAGTGGAGAAGCAGGTGCTATTTGTCAGACATATTAGTAACCATTTCATTGTAAGTTACCCACCTTTCTGGTGTTCTCACTGCCTCTGCAGCTTTGTGAGTGTGCCTTTGAAATCTGAATCACCACGATATGTTTGTGGGTCAGTGTTCAGAATCAGCAAGTTCAGAGTCATGGTGAGTCTGATGAGGCAAACCCTGGTATGGCCTGGTCAAGGTAGTTCCTACGTCACAGACTCATCTGTTTTTATTCCTCACTGGTGGCTTCACGACTCACCTTATTCTCCATTCTCTGACTTCCTGTATGTTAGACGCTATCTGGTACCTGCTCAGTATCAGTTTCTCCTTCATCCTTTCTAACACAATTCTGATTAAGTGTGCCATGTACCCATCGAACACCTTTCTAGACTCTTTTATCACACACTCCTACTTCCGTTCAATAGGGACTTTGTGGGATTTTTCAGGAAACCTCTTACTTTCCTGAAACCAAAAGGCCAAATCAGCTGGCATGGAATTTTGACTCTGACCTTCTATCCACAGAATGAATGCAGGAGAAGTCATTTCAGTCAGTCAAAGCAGAAAACTCACAGTCTCAGGCCAGCAGAACAGGACGCAGCTCAGGTCCTCAGCAGCTCCCTTGAGCAGATGACGCATATGGTTTCTGGGTTTACTCTTCTTATTCAAGGAAAGAATCCCTCAAAGCTTCTAAAAATGAGTTTCCATTGCAACAGGCTAGAGTGTGTGGTCCTGTAATCTCAGGGCTTAATCTGGAGTGCCCCATATCTCTCTGATACATTCCAGGATACATAGGGGTAAGTAGACTATTAAGAAATTAATGGACCAGCCTGGATTTTCAGCACAGCAAAATTCATTTGTTGAATTTTACTCCCACCCCAGCACCTACGATGAGAGGAGGACGTGGAGTCTTCAGAAGGCTGGTAGGATAAGGGTGTAGCCCTCGTGACCAGGGTTAGTGCCCTTGTAAAGGATTCCAGGGGAACTCCCTCATGCTCTCTACCACGTGAGAACAGAGAAGGAAGACAGCCACCTGGAAGATAGAAGAGAGCTCTCATTAGAACCCTGACCTTAGAACTGCACACTCTGTGACCGTGGGGAGTAAAAGTCTGGTCATTGCAGAGTGCGGCACTGTGTGATTGCAGAGCGAACGCTGGAGACACTCGGCCTGTGTGTGATCTGGAAGCTGGCACGTGAACAGAATGATAGCGGTGACACTCAGAGAGGAGCAGACACATGGATCTGACTATGGAGCTATGGAGTCTGCAATTACCAACTTCTAGATTGCCACTTCCTCTCGGGGATAAGTAGATTGCCAAGAAGAATGCAGAGATGTCAGTAAAAATACTCTTACGTTTCAGGAAACGACTCTTTTGAGATGTGGGACAGCTGCCAGAAAGGGTAAAGGGGAAGTTAACAATCCTGCAAAACAAATTCATGAATTTAAGCTCTGTGTAAACACCGGGAGATCGTGAGAAATCGTATGGAATTATCCTGACACATCAAACCCTCTCCCCGTTTCGATGCATTTGTAGAACAAAATGACTAACGAAGAACATCACCTCCTAAGCTGGGTAAAACTTTAAAAATGGGATGTACGCTAAATACTCATGGTTGAAGTGAGCCCACAGGAAGACGAGATGGCCGATCCCATTTAGTTAAAGGAGACATCTTTCTATACTAAAATCTGAAATTTTTACATAAACCAGAGGGGCATCCTAAAGTTTGCAATAACCTTAATAATTCTGAAAGCATCGAGTTAAATTAATTAGAATGCTGGAAAAGTGGTCCATTGGCTGAATATGACCTTATAGGAATATTATGGGACAGGATTGAGCAGTAGAAGGGCATTGGTTGCTAAATAGAAGGAAGATGACAGGGAAAACAATCATCATTGTTAACACAGACCCTTTAGAAGAAATGTCACCACTCAGTAAAATTCTTATTGAGTATCTATTTTTAAGTGTGGTGCTGACAATAAGAACGTATAGACACACTGTGATTAGTAAGGGCGTGGAGGGATGCTCTTGGGACAGTGCAAACAGCAGGAAGGCAGCGAGTAGGGCTGGACCCGTTCAGCATGCTGAGTGTGTCTCTGCAATGCTTACTAATTTACAACCTGTCTGGATAGCATTGCGTCATGATGACAAATCTGAGGATCAGAGACACGAAATAACTTGTGGTCTAAGACCCCTGGAAATCTGTATCCACATGTGGGAAAGGATGTATTGGATGCAAAACAGCAAGAAAAAAAACACAAAAGGTAAAAAACTCTATTATAAGCCGGGCGGTGGTGGCACACGCCTTTAATCCCAACACTCGGGAGGCAGAGGCAGGCGGATCTCTGTGAGTTCGAGGCCAGGCTGGACCGACAGCCTCCAAAACAATACAGAGAAACCCTGTCTCATAAAATCAAAAAAAAACCTCTATTATATGTAACAGTAGCATGAAGTATGTTTTGCATGATCATCAACAATTTAGAGAGTGCAAAGACATATGAATCTGACTTCACTGAACATCCTCCTAATTTGTGTCCACTCACAATTCCAAAGGCAGGAAAGGGAAAAGGGACCCTGAACGAAGCCAAAGGGAACTTCCGGAGTTCAGAGCAGCTTCTAAGGAGAACAGAGGTGATCATCATTTCTAGAAAATTAGGACCAGGAAAACTTTTTGCATTTGTGATCAGTAGTCACCAGGGTAAACTGATTTAGAACATGGGATATTATTAGCCCGGCTTCTTCAAAAGGCAAATACCAAGATGAGATTAAACGTTCAAGGATCTGGCCAGAGGGAATGTTTATATAAAATGAAGTAGAGAGAAAGCTGGGAAACCCTGGCCAAGCCTTAAGACTTCGTGGCAAGTCTAACCCAGAACATAAAGACTGTGCTGTCCAACAGAGGTTCAGCAACACCATCAGAAAAAACAGGAGCCTAAGTCAGCACCCAATTGAATGCCCACGGCACCATGAACAAAGTTGCCTGAGAGCCCCTGTCAAGGGCAACGGCGGCGGGGGTGGGGGGTGTCCGTGGCCTCAAGCAAGTTACTCATGCACTTTCCTGATTCATAATTGGTAGTGCTGATCTACATCTATGCCCTACCATTCAGTGGAGGGGTTGAGGCAGGGGGCATTCTCATGGCCCCTGTATCACAGTCCCTAAATGGCTCTGTTGGATTGTCCCCTTGATTCTCACTGTTTGACAGAAAAAATTGATTCACAAAAAAATGATTCAACTAGTCATCTTTTTTCTTTCAAGACAAGGTCTCATACATCTCAGGCCAGCCTCGGATTCACTATTTAGCAAGTTTGACCTTGAACACCAGGTCCTCCAACCCCTGCTTCCCAATGACTGCTGGGATAACAGGTGTGTGCACCAGGATTGATCTACGCAGGACTAAGAATCGAACCCAGAGCTTAATACAGACGGTGGAAACATTCCAAAGCCTGAGCTACCACGGCAACCCGTTGCTTAGCTCGTATTGAGGACTTAATCTCTATCAATAGCTATGCTGAACTGTTGATGCATTCTGTCTCTTACAGGCCTCACACCCCAGGGAGGAAGATATTATCATTACCAGCCTACAGGGGGGAAAAAAAAGTCAAGATTTAGAGAAGTTGAAGGATGTCGCTAGAATTACAAACCTAGAAAGGAGCAATGTCAGGGTTCAACTTAGGTATCTGACTCCTGAAGCAGAATTTCTATGGTGAAGCCCTGATAATACCAGTTTCACATTAAATAATGTTATTATGAGAAGCAAATGAAACTACCCAGGTGAAAGCCCACAATGCATTGCTCAGGTAGTAAGAGTTCAAGTAATACTGTGTTTACTTAGTAGTTGAGTCAAGATTCGATCCCAGCTCTAACTAATGCCAGTATCTGTGTCTTGGCCACTGATCTTGAATATCCATCCATGTAAAAATCACCATTCCTATCAGATAGCATTGGGCGTAGCTGGAAAGGGTGTTTACAAATCGAGTGGAGCTGGGATTATGTGTCTTTTTTTAAAGTCACACAGATAGAATTCAATGATAGGGGAGTCTAGAAATGCCAGGTATGTTTCCTTTCATTCCCCGGGGAAGAAAGGCACACAGGTGTGGCCTGTTTCCTGCCCATTCATAACTAGAATTATGTAAGATTTATGAGACAAACGTGCCAGTGAGAAAAAGAAGAATTACAGTCTATCCACTTTTTAAAAAGGGGATGTTGCAGAAGCTTCTAGATCTTTACTCCTGGCCCAGATAGCACAACAGGAAAAAGACTTCCTGTTCTACCAGAAACAAACAGACAGACAGACAAACACTTTAAAAAGGAACACAAAGTGACAATGTCCTTACATGCTGAAGTCTAGGAACATAGGACAGCATCCCCTGAAAGAACGGACCCACAAGGGATAAGTGCTGTGAGCATCCTCTGACTGTTGCACAGAGAATTCCCAGGCAGAACCAGGTGGTTGAGCTTAGAGCTAACGGTCTAGCGAAAAACAAGATCGCTAGAATTCACAAAGCTTAAAATAGGTGAGGGGGTTATTGGGAGGGAAGGGAGAGAGAGAGATGGGAGAGAGGGGAAGAGGAAAAAGAGTCTACTTATTCCAGGAATCTGCAGAGTTCCCCGGCCCAGCAATTTGGTGTTGGCTGTTACATGCCTTTGGAGAAAATGCTAGCAGATAAGAAAATACTTGCACAAGTTTAACAAAAAGGCAGAGGGAACAAATCCTACAAGTCGCACAAAGCCGAAAATAGTGGCAGCATCTCCATGCCACTGTGGAATCCCTACTCGTAGTCAGAGCATACTGTAGATCGGCCAATAACAGCTAAAACCTGACCCATAAAATAAATAAATCCATAGCTTTTTGAGAAGAGGATTCTCAGCTGAGAAAATACCTCCGTAAGACGTGTGTGTAGGCAAGTCTACAGGTTCCTGAAGGAGTGATGCGGTGTGCCCAGCTCACCAGGGTGGCATAATCAACCCCTGGGCAGATGGCCCTGGATGGTATAAGAAAGCAGACTAAGAAAGTCAGTAAGCAACACTCTCCCATTGCCTCTGCTTCAGTTCCTGGTTTCCCTGGACAAGACTGCAAGCTGTGAGGCGAAATACACCCTTTCCTCCTCGAGTTGCTTTGGGCCACGTTTTCCACCCCGGCAATAGAAACCCTAAGGAAGACCCGATGGACATGGTTGTCCAGGCGCTTGTCAGCCGACTTGCGCTGATCAGCTGTCATTGCGGCTCTGTGAGATGGTCAACTGGTTGTGACAAAGATTTATTTAGCCTCGCAGCTTTAGAAGCCCTGGTGCTCAGGTAGTGAGGCAGCAGCATGGCATGATGGGAGCACACGGGGGATGCAGCGCGGGGCATGGTGCGAGCCAGCGCATGGGAGCACACAGCTCCCCTCAGGGCTGAGAATCAAAAGACGAAGAGAAGGGAAAAGCAGAATGGCATCATCCCCTTCAGGGCGCAGCCCTCCTTCCAGAAGCGTCTACAGTCTCCTGCCACTGTCTCCCCGGGAACTAAGCCCTCGAGGAACATTCGAAGATCACCGTAGCAGTGCCTGAGTGCTTTGCTTTGCGGCCCGAGCTCTCCACATAAGACCTCTGAGGACCACGAGAAGGCCGGGAAGCGCAAAGCAAGCAAAGGAATGCTGGGTAGTTTCCAATTTTCTGAATGTTTTCAGTAAGAGAAATGCCACAAATCTCCGCTGAAGTCACACCTCGGTACTGTTAAGTGGTAGGGTCTTAAAACTCCAAAGTAAGCAAGATGAATTTGAATGCTAGTTGTACAGGAAACTTTCCTGGGGTGGGAGTGGGGGAACCTGTCCCGTGCACTTAAGTAAAATTGGGTGGGTTTTTTGAAGTGGTGTAGACAATTGTGAATCTGCTCTTCTGAAAGCAAGCACGGTCATTTAATTGCGTACATGGTGCTTATAATGGACATAGTACTGTAGAGAAAATTTACATCACGGTCATACTTTTATGCACTCTATTTTTGTAGTAAATGGAAGTTCTTTCTATACAGTATCTTTATTCCCTTTGTTGGAGTCAGAACATTAAATTCCATATTTTGAAAGCGTTACATTGTACTTACAGTGCCTCTTTTTTTTATATTTACATGCAGAACTATGAATCACTTCATAAATCAGCAACAGAATGCATGATTATATCATTAGCACCGTGACAAAACACTGTTTTTACGTGATGAAGTTTCTGCAAGCACAACATTAGTCCATCTTCTGTTACTAATGACACAACACCACAGGTGATGTGAGCTATACAGAAAAGAAGTTCATGCGGAGTTAGGATTCTGGCCGCAGGTCAAGGGCCCACACGTACGGATGACCTTGCTGGCAGAGTTCAGAGGTGACTTGGGGCATCACACAGTGAGAGACAGGGAGCTCAAGAGACAACAGCCCACTCTGGCTTTTCTTAGAGCAAATCCACTCTCCAGCTATACTATCAGTTACAAGCGTGGAGCACTGAGCACATGATAAGCTCTCTGTTGTCCCCACGGTTGACTTCATAATGGGAATTAGGTTTCAACATAGTTTCAAAGGCAACCAGCTTTATTTAGGTCACAGCACACTGGAGATGAAGGAAGCACAGACTTACATTGCAACAACATGTAAACAAGATGCAAAGCCCATAGTTTCCATCCCTGCGCATATATTTAATGTGTATAATGCAAGCACTTCGGGGACAGGAGGAGTGAATCTTGGCTGCTAGCAACAGGAAGTTGCTCTCTGTTTCTCTGTCTGTTTTTAATGTGTGCACGAATCTTCCAGGAAGATTGTTAAAATGCACGGTCTGACAGTGGAGTCTGTCTAGGGTGGTTCCTGAGGTTTCCTGCATTTCCAGCAAATAACGTATGTGCTGTGGGGCTGCAGAGGCCACCTGTGAACAATGAGTCTCCCCTCTATACGAAGCAGGGTGCACCTCCCCCGCCTCCTGTGCCTTTGCCCTCCTGTCTAGTGCTATAGCAAACGATATCTCCCCGAGTTGTCCTGTCTCCTTACCGCACCTGGGAGGCCAAGGAGCTCGTCCGTCTTCCTCACCTCTGTGTTTCCAGTGTTTGTAACTTGATGAGTCATCGCTAGCAAAGGTTTATTGGTTAAACAATATGCATACGTGAAGTTGTATCGTGTGAGCGCTGTGGAGGTTACCAGATATATGCCACATTAATTGTTGGTGACACTGACTACCAGAAGCATTCCATTTAACAACAGGCAGGGTACCAATGGCCAGGAGTATTGTATCACCCATGCACTGGCCACCTGGGTTACACTTGCGAGGAACATGAAGTCCCTGTGTGTGCATCATCATCTAGGGGTAATAAAGACTGAACTCACAGTACTGGATGAGGACTGAGTTACCGCCTATGGCAGCAGATCATGTCCGTAAGCGTACATAGCAAACACTGCATGACCGGGAACCCAAAAGTTATGATGTTTTTAGCATGGATAGGTGTATTATTTATAAGGTTTAGACGCTTCCTCAGGTGTGAGCCACATCTGGTGCGTGTGTGTGGAACAGATCAAGCCTACGGGCAGATGGATGGTTTCCAAGCTTCTCAGAGACACTGAGGATCTGTGTAAACCTACCCAGACTCTCTGAGGGGAAGCTGGCAGAACCGAGAGTCAGGGCTAGCTCCGCCACTGTGCCAAGTAGCTCTGCCTCTCTCTGATCTCATATTGACCTCCCCAGTAAGTTTCTCCAGTAACAATTAATTTAAGAGCCATGGGACATGCTCATCTCCGAATCCCATTCAACAACATCATCCCATCAGTTTCTCAGAGGGGAGCAGTAAATACACCAGCTTGTTTATGGTCCCCAGAAGCCATCAGACAGATCTCAACAAACATTAATACCATCTATTATTCATACCTCATAGAGCCACATATATTATCAGCTCTGTGTCTGGAGGATGGAGGCCATGGTTGCTGGTCTGAGATGGGTCAAGGAGTGACAACACAGAAGCCTGCAGCATTTTCTATCTGTAGAAATAGTAGCACTGGAGCAAGGGGGCGGTGTGTGGGGAAAGTAAAGGATCCGGCGGGCGAGGGGGCTGGTTTCAGACCCCTGTGACAGTCACTTCAGCCACAGCTCATCGTCCTGCAGGTCGCTTCTCCTTTATGTCAGTGATGCTGCATCCAGATTCCCGCTGGGATCACCAGAGGGCTGGTAGACAACAGCAAGGTCTGAAGAGCCAACACACAACCTTTGAAAGCAGGTGACAGCCACCTGTGCCTTCGCTTGGGCTCCTTTGGGCAGTCCCAACAGTCTCTTGGCCTTGAATCCCACTTGAGAATTTCAAGTAGTCTGAAATCGGTATCTAAAATTTACATTCACGAGCTTTTAATATATCGTGCACAAAAGTTTTAGTTAACTCTTTAAATAGTCGAGCATGGGTCTTTTTCTAATTTCATGACCAAAGAGTATTTAGTGAACAAAACTTAGGGAAATTTTTGATAAATAATGTTATGTTTTATTTTTGTAATGCATGTTTGTCTCTCGCTGGAGAAGTTATATGAGCTATAGATGCATAAAACATATAAGATGTGTCTGCCTAAACTGTTAAATTGTTTCCAAAGAATTTTTCAAGGGAATGTTGATATTTATTTGGGGACAGTAGATCACTGTCATGGAATGTCACATAACAAGTGACATTTATTTAAAGTGACTGGGGCAAGGGGAGGTTTTTACAGGTGAAAATGAAGAGGACTGAATTGGGTATTTGACAGGCGTCCGTATAGATGTCCCCTTAGTCTATGGCTGAGCTGGCTTCTAGAGAGGCAGCAGTCCTGCCGGCCCTTTGTGATGTCGCCATCAGGCAAATGTGCCTAAGAATCTTTCCTTCAAAGCCTGCTGGCTTTCTTTACTGTTTTTGATAGGCTGATGGGAATGGCCCTATTTTCACTCTGACATTTTTGACAGCTCTGTCACACATGTGTTTCAGAGGTAAACATATTCAGTACAAATCCCAGCACATTTGTTAGTCACAGTCACGACCTGCCAGCCCGATGAAGAGAAGAACAATTTCTAAGACCATCTCACAGTATTAAGCTCTGATCGGCCTCTATAGCAGTGTAGACGTGGACAGTGGGTTATGAAGTCTAGACCATGTGACTTCACTACTAGTTCTGACACCCACCTCTAGCTTTCATGGCAAAGACCTGGACTTCTCTGCGTCTCTTTCTTCATGTAGAAATGAGGATGGTGCTGGCTGTTTCTCATGGCCTTTGGAGGGATCAGTGTGATAATTATCAAAGCCCCAGCAAAGCATCTGGCATGAGCTGTGACTTTGTCACTCACATTGACCCGTGACCAACGCGCCAGCACTCAGCTGCGGCTTTCACTGTAAATACAGCAAAGTTGCATTACATCTTTGTTGTCATCATTGCATTACATCTTTGTTATAAGGACGGGGATCTGTTTTGTTGCCTGATATGAGCATCTAACGCTTATATCACATGGTTTAGAAGCAATTTCTACACCAAAATTACCCTGTGGAATAAGAAGCCACCTGGCACAAATTGTAATGTGTACAAAATGGAATCTTCTGACTTAGTAGACTTGATATTATAAACATAGTATGAGAAAAGTTAAGAGTTTGTTTAAATTATTGGCTTGTAGTAGAACCCAGACCAAGGCCCTCTGACTCAGGGTACATTGCCTCTGGGCAAGGGCGGTATTAGGCTTGTTCCGTCCTGTATCAGGTATTGCACAGAACACTGCTTTCCCAGTAGCTGTTTCCTATAGACAGTGGTGGCAGAGTCTAGATGTCTCTTGGGTATTGTTATTTTTTTCAAAGTAACAAATTATAAATTTTAAAGATTGGGCATACACACATCCGATATCATTTATGTCTATGTCTTGGTGTCGCTGTGTCAGTTACTGACCTGTGACAAAAATCACTTGTTGTGGGATCCTGGCTTAACCCCAGTTTAGGTAACTCCAATTCATGCTGAAGCTCTTCATTTGGAGGCTGGGCTTCTCAGAGCCTACCTAGCTTCCTGGAATCTTTGAGCCCAAAGACCCTGAAAGTACTTATACTTTCCTTAAATAGTGCTACTTAGTGCTACCTCCTGTAATTTACGGTGGAAAGCACCCTGAGTCTGTCTATCTGTCTGTCTGTCTGTCTCTCTCTCTCTCTCTTTCTCTCTCTCTCTGTCTCTGTCTCTCTCCCTCTCCATCTTGAATTTGAATTGCTCAACCTCCACACATGTTGTGAGTTAAATAGAGTTAAATGACTCAGTCTGCTGTATATTTTAGACCAGTCACCTCCTGAGTGATGGGGCAGCAAGGGACCAGTGATTGTCTTAGGACCTAAAGGTATAATGCACAAAAATACCAGTGGGTGGATACCACATGCTTGGTGAAACATTTACTATATATTATTCACTGTATTATGTCATACATATACATGTATATTACCTTTGTAATTACTTTGGAGAGATTTAGGAAGAAGCTGTACACAGAAACTGAAATTTTGTTTTAATTATTCAAAACACCCAAGAGAAGTTTTAAAAAATCCTAGGAAAGTACATTTAAGAATGAAAATACAAAAGGCTAATAATTCACAAAAAAGTCCTCAGAATTCATTAAATTGTAGTGACTGATTTAAAAATAAATAAATAAAAAGCCACAGAGGAAATCCCAAGGGATAAGATTTTCCTGCTGAAGATAAAGGGAAGGAAATCCTAAGAAAAACAAACACGAAAGGATTGTGCAATCTGCTAGACTTAAGTCAAGAGAAGGGCCTGGGATGAAGTCTGTAGCTGCCCAATCACATAAGCGTGGCCTCCGGTAACTGGAGTCTGGAGTCCCGGTGAGCACGTGCCAGGAAGCTGTGCCTACCTTCCTCCTATGGCATGAGCAAGTATTCCCCTCCCTGGGCACATGCCAGCCGATCAGGGTGCCTGCTCAGCAGACTTCCCCAGACCCAGGGTTACTCTGTCTTTCCACGCCCCTTCCCATTCTAGGCTTTTACAATGTAGTTTTTTGATTTCTTAAAGTTTACTCTGTGTGTGTGTGTGTGTGTGTGTGTGTGTGTGTGTGTGCGTACACACTCACATGCCTGTGCCGTAGCAGCACACATGAAAAAGTCAGAGGACAGCTTTGTGTAGTTGTTTCTCAAGTGCTATTAGTGGTCGGTCCCAGAATTATTGCAAATGCTAACTGAATTCTACCTAAAGCCTGGTGGTGTAGGGTTTTCACATTTGCGAGTATCGCTGCGTTGTATCTCTTGATGAATAAATGACGGAACTATCCCAACTGATGACTGACTCTTGCCATCTTCCCTACTTGGCCCTCAGTCTGACTGAAACATGTCCAGGGTAAGTTAGAAAACCATGGATACAGCAGGGAGCAGAGGGGAAGGACCAAAACTCGTGGGACGTGTCCTATGAACAGGGCTCTTTCTGTTACATTATTCTTGGTGGAATTACCATATGCGTGAAGGAGAGGGGATAATTTCTGTTACAGTTGGGGCCATTGTTTAGAAAGTCCCTCAAGTGCTGAGCTCTTCAGTATCAAAGCCAGACTAAATGCTCAGCCTGGCTCCAAAGTCTCTACTCTTCCTGTTACATCACACTCTGCAGTGTTTAAGTCCAAAGTCCTTCAAAATAAGAATGACATTTTCTTTCTCACACTTTCTAAAGGCATTGTGAGGATCTGAGAGCCATTTAAAATAAAATGATACCCCCCCCAAAAAAGACAAAAAGGGCAACATTTTATGAAGGTCATTTCCCATGGAAAATCCCCGACACTTTGACTCACTTAGCAACTTGGCAGTTGGAGTAACAAGGAACTCAAAGGAATACCCATTAAAGTTACGCATCCTAGCAAAAGTTCCTATAATTAAACTGCAATCCTTCGATCCCTGGATTTCCACTTGGGCAAGTTATTCATTGCCTCAGCCCACCAAGTGTTCTGAGAACTGTAGATATTAGAACTTGTTTTCTGTGTTTGTTCAGAGGCTCAAGCAACCGACGTAAGAGTCTAGTACAGTGTGCCCAGTATGCTGCATCACCTTCATAAACTACAGCCAAAAGCTAAATAACTGCTTAAACAGAGGATGATTCTGATGCGTTGTCAGGCTTAAAAACTATCCTTCTTTCTCAATGGCATTAAAATTTACTGGTTCCTAGTTTCCTAGTACATACTAAATTTCCCTGCTGCCAAAAAAAAAAAAAAAAAAAAGGTGATGTACCTTGGTTAGTCTCTATTTTGAGAGACGTGTTTCAAGATTCTCAGTGGATACCTGGAACTCTGCAGAATACCAAGTGTAGGCAGAGTTTTCCTATGCTGTGGCCACTTCCCAATTAACCTCGGTGGAGACTCAGTATTAATTGTAAATGCTCAGCCAATAGCTCAGGCTTATTACTAACTAGCTGTTACATTTTAAGTTAACCCATGTTCCTTATTTACACTCTGCCACGTGGCGGTACCTTTATTAGCATGACACATTCATCTCCTGCTCCCCCTGCATCTGCCTGACGACTCATGACTCATCCAATCATTCTGTTCGGATTTCCCATCTAACTTTATCCTGTTCAGCTTTTGGCCAGTCAGTTTGCTTATTAAACCAACCACAATGACATATATTCATACAATATACAGAAGGATTATTCTACAGCAACCAAGCCCTTCATATAAGCAGGTTTCTTTACTATATCTACATATGCAAATGTAATGCCTTTTCCATATATTTTGGTAAGAGGGCATTTGGAAAAAAAGGGGGGTCTCTAAATTAGGTAGGCCACTAACACACTATGTAGCCTAGGCTGTCTCTGAATTCATGTTTCTCTTGCTTCAGCTTTTCAATGCTGAGGTTAGAGATGCACACCACCATGCCTGGTTGCCTTTTCCATCTTAATTAAATGTTTACCACACACTGAGCTGTAACTTTTTCAGTGTGAGGTGACAGAGCAAAGCCACCCTTATGGTCAGTAAATCTCCCCAAAGGTTTATATGTATCTGCTGGCATTGAGGGGGTGGAGCCTCTAGGAACTAACGCCTCCTGGAACCCGGGGTCTTCAGGTCACTGAAGACTATGTCTTACAAGAGAAGATGGGCCTGTGACATTTCCCTTTTTCTGTTTCTTGGTTGTGATGCAAGCATTTTACTCTGTCACACACAAAGTGTGGCACCTACAGCAGAGACCCAAAGCAACTGGAACATCCAGAAGGGCGATTTTAAAAAATGTTACTTGGGCCTGACAGGGTAGTACCCACCTATAATCTCATCACTTGAGAGGCAGAGGCAGGAGGATCACTCACAAATCCAAGGCTTGTCTGAACAAGCTGGTGGGTTGCAGGCCAACGAGGGACAGATAGTGAGATTCTATCTCAATGGGAAAATATTAAACTAAAATTCTGCTCTTTGTGAGTTAATTGTACCAGGTAGTTCATCATCGTGACATGGAAAAGATGAAATACAAATACTTAGGAGCTTTAGGAACCAGCATTGGATATTTTTCTTTCCTTGTTAGCTTGAATATTTTCCCCTTTTCATCTCATGGAAAGTTGAAGATTTCTGGAGTAACATTATCTTCAAAGTCACATAGCACTGTTTTTTTGTGGTTTTTTTGTTTTTGTGTTTGTTTTTTGTGGTTCCCTAACAATCAATTAGTGGTAATCAATTTGCCCAGCTTTAAGGAGAGGAATCATAAACTACACCTGTCAGGGGTAGGGGACTCTCAGAAAAATGTGCAAGTACCTAACAAGGCTTGTGCTAGTACCTTTTGGGTGACAGTGAGTTAGAAAGTCTAGCCAGAGTGTTGGCAAGACCGGAAACATCAAAGAGTAAAGGAAGAGTAAATACGGCATATTTGGGGAAGAAGTAACTTACATAAAAGTTCCGTGTTCATACCGCACCACATGAGAGTCTCCAACAGACCATTTGCAACAGTTTGCCTTCTTCGAGAAGCAACTGGATGGTCTGTACATTTTACCTAAAAGCCAGAAACAAAAACAAAAAAAACCCAGCTGTGATTCAAAACTGACCTGCTGACATCTGCTTGCCTTTTCACTTAGAATGCTAATGTCTTCCCGACACAAGATAAGAAACAAGGTTTTGAATTTAGTATCTTTTCGGAGTCCCACAAGAAGAAGTATACCTCTAGTAAAGATTTGTACTAGCAAATCTCCACAATGCGTATTGGTGTACAATCCCATCAAACACAGGCGCTGGGAAAGGGGGAGGCACCTTTCCTCTCATATGAGAAAGTTAAAAAGTCAAAGCAGAACGTTAAATCCCCGGAGACTAGAAAACGCAGGAAAGAAAGGAGAGGGAAGCAGAACGCTGGACGCCGAGACACAGCCCAGCAGCAGGAGTGAGTTCTCACGTTCTGCCCCAAAGATGGATGGCCACAGCTCACCACAGCTCACCAGCGACTTAGACAAAACCAAGAGGGCTGGGGAGGTGACTCAGGGGATGCAGCCTTTCCTCTGCAGAAGTGAGGCTCCCAGAGCCCCCACAGAAGCTGGCGCGGTCGTGAACGCGTGGAAACCCAGCGTCCTCCGGCAAGGCAGAGGCAGGACAATCTCTGCGAGCTCACGGGCCAGCTCTCCTGGCAGGTGGGGCGGTGCAGAGCAGAAGAGAGGAGAGGGCGTGGTCTCAAACGAGAGAGAGGCCAGGGTCTTGACTAGGGTTGTCGGTTGACTCCACCTGTCACACACTTACACATACACGCACGCGCGCGCGCACACACACACACACGCGCACACACACACAGAGGGAGGGGGAGAGAGGGAGGAATGTGATTGGTGCACTCTGTATGCACAGGTTGAAATATCATACAATACTCATTAATATGTACAGTTAATTTGTCACGATTTTTAATTTCTTTATTTTATAAATGTACTATGGTCCATTTTTCAGTGAGATTTAGGAAAATACATACCTCGCTAAAGGTCACAAAATGAGATCTGTGAGCTTCATTTTTGACTTATGACCAATGGTTGATTCCCAGAATAATTTGTCTTGCTAAAATCATTCTTTGTGGTCTTCTGTAACCGGAGTGGGCACGGAAGGTGACTGGACACCTTCTCTGCAGCCAGCAGGTCCACACTCATTTGTTTTTTCCTAGATCAATGGCTGTGGGTGGTCAGCCCTGGCTTTGAGAATGGACACAGACACTGAGAACAGATGGGCTTCTTGGCGGCAGGGCACCCCCGTCCCTGCCTGACACAGGTGGATGGTGTCTTAAAGATGCTGTAACTCCCAACCCAAGGACTAGCGGATCAACGACACTACACCGGAAGGACATCAAAGCATCCACAATTCAAGAAGATGGACAGGCTTTAAGCTGTGATTGAAGAAGTGTGCGCCTATCAGAAAATGGTATCCAGGCCAAATGGCGTGCCCCATGCTGGCCTCCCTAGTCGTCTGTGACCCAGAGAGAAAGTAGACCAGCCCTCCTCCAGATAGGCACGCCCTGCAGATTAGACGGTCAGCCCTTCAGAGCGTGGTGACAGCAGAAAGCCGTCCCACAAGGGGAGGAATCACACCATAGGTTCAGAGGGACAAGGAGCTGCGTTAATTTTAGCCACGTAGGGGGAAAGAGCCCCAGCCCACACGAAAGAAATGCCCCCCACGGGTCCACGTATTTGAGTCCTTGGTCCCTGGTTGGTGGCGCTGTTTGAGGAGGTTATGGGAACCTTTAGGGGGTAGAGCCTTGCTGGAGGATGTAGGTCTCTTGGGATGGGCTTTGAGGGTATGTCACCTCGCCTGCTCTCTCATTCTGCTTCCTGTGTGTGGACAACAATGCAATCACCCAGCCCCTACCCTTGCCTTCATGTCTTCCCTGCTGTCTGAGGTACTGTTGTATTGCTGTGAGGAGATATTATGGCCAAGGCAACTTATGGGGGGGAGCATTTAATTAGGAGCTTGCTTACATTTTCAGAGGGCTCGTACATAATTATCATGGTGGGAAGCAGACAGGCGTTGTAACGAGCTCTCTTTCCCGTCAGCCTGGTCTGACGACAGCAGCGTCAGTCCCAAATGAATGCATAGACTTATATTAATTATGAAACTGCTGACTGATGATAGGGCTCATTATTGATTAGCTCTGTCTTAATTATTAACCCATTTCTATCAATCTATGCATTGCCATGTGGCTGTGGCTTACCTGGCAATGCCCAGCATGGTGTTACTCCTCCGGTACAATTGTGACTCTGTCCAGCAGGCTCACTCTATTTACCTTTCCCAGAATCCTCCTCCTCTCCTAGCCCTGCCTATCTTCCTGCCTGGCCAATCAGTGTTTTATTCATCAACCAATAAGAGAAGCATATATAGAATAACATCTCCCATCAAGATGCGGTGCTGGAGGGGTATCTGAGGGCTTTATATCCTGATGTGCAGCTATCAGGCAGAAGGCTGGGGAGAGGGAGAGGAAACGAGATGAGAGAGACTTGGCCTGGTGTGAGCTTTTGAAACCTTAAAGCACACCCCAAAGATGAACCTCCTCCAACATGGCCACACCTCCTAATCCTTCCCAAACCATTCCACTAACTGTGGACCAAGCATCCAAACATATGAGCCTATGGGGGCCATTCCCATCCAACTACTACCCATACCACGTTGGACTCTATCACTCTGAAATCGTAAACTAAAATAAACTCTTTCTCAAGTTGCTTTTGGTCGTAGTATTTTATCACAGAAACAGAAAAGTAACTGATGCACAAAGAAGCATGAATTCCTCCTTAAACACTAACCCTTCTGAAGGATCAAGTGGATTGCTTTATCAGTATAATGGGATGAGAATAAGAATAGTCATTGCTTTGGAGACCAGCGCCCATTGCTCAAATAATTCATGGAGAATGAGACAAACGGAATTTCAAACATGCTATGGAAATGCCAAATACGTTTACAGTTTCCTAGGAAGTTACACCTAGGCACAGGGACTCCACTATAAGAATTTACCAAAAGGAAATGACCACTCCTGGGCTCCATAATAGCCTGAGACAGTTAAGCTCAATTGTGACTGTGGTATCATTCAGATTCACCTAGAAGATGGGCCTCTAGATCACTGGTTCTCAGCCTCCCACACACTGACACCCTTTAGTACAGTTCCTCGTGTTGTGGTGACCCCCTCTCCCAGTCACAAAATTATTTTCACTGCTACTCCATAACTGTGATTTTGCTACTGTTATGAATCATTACGTAAATATTTTTGGAGACAGACGTTTGCCAAAGGGGTCATGACCCACAGGTTGAGAACTGCCATTAGACACACCCATGAGGGATTATCTTGATTAGGTTCATGGGGGTGAGGAAGCCTCCCCCCACTGTGGGCAGCATTGTTCCCTGGGGTGGGACCTGGAGTGTATGGGCAGCATGAGCTAGGCACAGCTTCAAATCCCCTTTCTTCCTGACCGTGACGCAATGTGACCAGCTGCTCCGGGCTCCTGCCCTCTGACCCCAACTGCCACGACAGACTGTACCATAGAACTGTGAACCAAAACAAACCAACCTGTCAGTTCATTTTATCACAGCAGCAGAAAAGTAACAAGGCATTTCCCTGAACTGGAAATCATCCAAACGTTCTCCAGTGGCGAGCCATGAACCAATGCTCGTAGACTCGTAGAATGGAATACTGATCAGTGACAAGGGGAACTAATTCCCGGTACATGAAAAGAACAAGGACGGACCTCAGAAAAGATCGTGCAGGTATACGTAGCTGCACACTGTGTGGTTAATTTAGATGTCACTTCTGGTGAAAGCCCAGTTACAGACAAAAGCCAGGTCATGGCTGCCTAGGAGCAGGAGTGTGGAAACAAGTGTCTACAAACGCGCAACTGTGAATTTGTTTTTGTTTATTGAGAATATGGGTTTTTTTCCTTTGTGATTTTTGAAAATTTAACAAATAACAGCAGTGTTTATTTTTGGCGCAGTGAGGTAATCCAATCCATAGATACAATGGATAATGATCAAATCTGGGTAATTAGCATTTCCCTGCCATACGCATTTACCATTTGTCCTACTTTCCTTTCCTGCCTCGGTGATAAAATTCTCAGATGAAAGCAACATGAGGGAGGGAGGGTTTGTTGTAGGTCACAGTTACAGGTTAGAGCCCTTTGTGGTGGGAAACCAAGGCAGCTGCTGCTTTATAAAAAAACACAAAAACGAAAACAGAAGTAGCTTAACATGCTCCGGGTAGGAGCACGCCTGGGCCTCTGAAACGTTTGCACGCACATATACAGGGACCAGTGCCATAGGGAAACCGCTAGGGCATCTCACCAACGCCCGTGAACGTGAGTGGTTCGCAGCAAGTGTGAATGTGTGCCTGGAATTGCAACATGCAGGAATCAGTACGCCGTGTAAGAGCACAACCTAAACGCTGGAAATTTCGGGTAGGGTAGCAGGGATTTGGGGGAGTGGTTATCTCGGGAGTGACGGGAGGGTGGGGAGGATAACTGGGAGAGTAGAGTATCAGAGAGATGTAAAAGGAAGCTTATCCTCTGCCAGCCGCTTTGGTTTTACCCTGCCAGCCGCTTGGGCTCTGCCACATTGTAGTCCCCAAATAACACACAAGACGCTGTATTAATTATGTAAAGGGAAGCCTTTTCCTTGAGAGAAGCCTTCCCACCAGCCTGGTTCCAGAGCCGCATCAGTCCCAAATAAACACACAGGAGTCTATATTCATTATGAAGCTGTTGGCCTTGCTTGTTTCTTACTGGCTAGCTCTGACTTAAGTATTTACCCCATAATTGTTAATCTAAGTATTTCTCTTACCGGAGAATAGTTCTGGGCTTCCTACCCCATGGTGGTTACATCTTGACTCTCATGTTTCTCCTGTGTTTCTCCTTCCCAGAGTCCTCCTGGATTCCTAGTCCCACCTATCTTGGTTCCCTATTGGCCAACAGTGCTTTATTGACATATACACAGGACTTCCCCCATCAGAGAGAGACTTCATATTTCCGACCAACAACAAGATGACACAAGTAACTTAATGGGTTAATTTGACACACCTTTTGTTTCTTTTCTTATCTTTTTGTTTGTGACAGGATCCGGTTTATTCTCCTTGGCAGGGTGGTCCCGAGAGGGCCAGGTGCCACCTTGACCTGGGCAAAGGGAGGACCCGAGGGCCATTTAAGGCCAATGGCGGGAGAAGCCCCTGGAAGGCGGTGAAGCCAGGCGGAGGCCGGGAGGCAGCTGTGGTAGGCCTGGGCAGAGAGCCCCTGCCATCCGGGGTGGAAGGCACCGGACTGAGACCTGACCGTGGCTCCAAGGCCATGGACCAGGGCGCACAGGCACCCCAGGAAATGGGGCACAGGGTCACATGACCCAGAACATGAAACAGGCAGCGGCTCTCGAGCAAGCAATGGAGAAGTGAGCGCATGTTCACACGCCAGAGACACACACCCGGCCGTGGCAGGGCTGGACATGGACACAATAGTGGCGTCACATACAGACCACACAATGGACTGTGGAACACACGGTAGTCGCCATGAACAGACCAGGCCACAGAGCTTGAGGGACAAGGGGAACGGCCTTTGGGCGCTACTACACTGGACTCCTAAGAGGGGATGGCAGGGGTGTGGTCTGGAGGAGCTGGGACACTCCGCTGTACCCGCCAGGGTGCATCTGTCTTCAAAACTTTACTGAGCAGCTTCACCGCAAGTTTGGCACAACTTTTAGCGTTCGTCAGAGGTGTGACAACGCTATGGGAAACGCACGTGTCGTTTAAGGCAT